CTGTTATTTTTATTAGAGCGATTCGTTCATCTTGACTTTCCTTGTGAAATATAGTTTTATCGTTATTAAAAGTCTGAATTGTATTTTTACCAGGAAAAAAAACCGGAGATATGCCAGGAATTTTAAATATGAAACACTTTGAAACAAAAACTTGAAAGGGAGCATAGCATTTTAGGGGAAGGGGGCTGCTGGTCTACAGGTTTTGACCAGCCATGTATTAGGTTTAGGTATAAGGTCACACGTAACGCGGGTAGATCACCTCTCCGTGGTGCGTTACGGTGTAAGATCTACCACCGAAGACTGTCCTGACTAACGGGTGTTCAATAAAAAAATGAGAATTTTTTCAGTCATATACACAGCAAAAAAAAGTTGTTGAATATTACATCGAAACTGCTGCAACCAGGTCAATCCATCGGTTGTGTAAAATCACATTGTACGATGTACATCGATTTTGCGGACAAAATTACATCCATTGATGTAATATTGTATCTGCGTTTTGCTATTACATGATTATTTCATGCATCAGCTTGAATTACGTTGATCGATATTACATTTTTTTTTTGCTGTGTAGCTAGAAAAAAAAATTTTGTTCGATGAATTGAGTATTTTTTATTGCAAACATAATGTTTATTCTTCAAAAAAACGACAATGAATATTGGAGAAGGGGCCCTGGTCAGCCGTACGACGCAACTTAGTCGCAATGCTCTCACAAGGGTGCTGGACGGCATTGAAATCATTCTCATTTTTTATTGAACACCCGTTACTTCAAACTAGGGGAACAGGATTTTTGTGTAATCAATGGAACACATCTTGGTCCTTGTTACTTTTTATGCCTTGAAAATAGTGCCAAGGCTCGGTTGTTCTACCGAGGACGATCTTGAAACAAGAATAAAATGAGTTAGTTATTCTTTATCACTGTGATTCCGAATCTTTTATTCGTTGTTCCCTAGTTTGGAGTGGTTAAGACAAGGGCTCTGATGCACGGACAAGTGCTGTAAAATCTCGACAATACACGGTGATATTGATAATTCTACTTTGGTCACTCATTTGAGCTAACAGTTATCGTCAAGGCAAACCATGTCAATTGTCAATGACAATGCTGTCAGTGACGAACATAGCCAATTTCTTTTTATTAGGTAAATTTGTAACAAAATTAAATGACTTGAGCAACACAATTACATGGAGCCGTTAAAGTGAACAAGCATCTACGTCCTGAACGGCTTGCATAACAATAATATGACACAGGATGCACGAAATAACACTTTTTGTTACCAATGACGAAAAAACTGAATGAGATTTTGAGCTTTTTTTTGAAGATACTTGTCAGTGACTATGTGAAATACAATTTTGTCAATATCGCGCGAAAGTCTGTCAATGACAATGACAAATCTCAGCATTGGCTCTAACTCTTCGAAGGGTATAAATAGCGAAATCTTTCAATTAGAATCGGTTCCATGGGATGAAGGCAAGAATGACAACTGCATCAAAACCGAGTACTTAATTATTTCTCAATAGTGATGGAGTAATACGACATGCACTAAACTACCCTAGTAGCACATTTGTCACAAACTGGTTGAGGTAAACTTTAAGTGACTCATTTTGGTCACAAACAAGTTGCTGTAACCTTTTGTGACAGATGTGTGCTTCTTGGGTAAGGACACGAGATATGATAAAATTGATATAATTAATGGTTGCATAATCAATTTTTAATTCAAACACTGCGTAAAGTAAGCAACCTCCCCCCTCCCGCTCTCTAACTACGCTTATGAGATTGAGCTTTTTTTTTTAATAAATCATCTGTACATACCAAATCGATAAGATTTTCTTATCTTCCGAAGTTGTTTCAGTTTGAAACTATACTTCTATTGATATGAGTGAGGGAGGTGCCCCCCCCCCCCTCTACAACCACGAGATAGAGAAATTGTTTTTGAATATTTCATCTGAATATACCAAATCAAGATAAGAAACTTCGAAATTATTTGGTACATCGGCAGCAGCCAACACTGCATTTAAAGATTTTTGGCATTTAATTCAAACCAATAATATATGAACAGTTATAATATTTTTTAAAAACATTATAGCACCATACTTTCTTTGGTAAAGTTGTTCGGAACTTACCGGGCTATATTTGTGCATTGTTGGTTTCATGGTTCAGCAAAATTGTGGTCTCTAGGGATAAAAATCCAAAAAAGTAGGTTTTCCCATACTAATTTCCATACAAATTTCAAACACAAGCCGGGTTACAACCAAACGCCTCCGTTAGGGATGTGGCTAAGAAGCTGCACCTAAGCCGAAGTTTTGTCCAGAAGGCCAAAACTAAGGCTGGGCTTCGAACGTTCAAGGTACAAAAGGCCCCTAATCGCGACGAGAAGCAGAACAAGTCCGCCAAAACCCGTGCCAGGAAGTTGTACCTCAACATGCTGACGAAAGTTGAATGCTGCATCATGGACGACGAAACATATGTGAAGGCCGACTTCAAACAGATCCCCGGCAACCTGTTTTTCACGGCCAAGGATAAGTTCAGCGTTCCAGAGCATGTCCGCACTCAGAAGATGTTCAAATTTGCGAAGAAATTCCTGGTTTGGCAAGCCATCTGCACGTGCGGGAAGCGGAGTGCACCTTTCGTGACCCAGGACACGATGAACGGACAGGTGTACATAAAAGAGTGCCTCCAGAAGCGGCTGCTTCCTCTCCTGAAGGCCCACAACGTCCCAACAATCTTCTGGCCGGATTTGGCCTCATGCCACTACTCCAAGGACGTGCTGAAGTGGTATGCGGACAATAAGGTCAATTTCGTGCCGAAAATGTTCAACCCTCCCAACACTCCGGAGCTCCGCCCCATCGAGAAGTACTGGGCGATTATGAAGCAGCACCTTCTTAAACGACCTAAGGTAGTGAAGACAGTCGAGGAACTGAAGAAAGTATGGGTTTACATGCAAAAAACGGTTGATTCACAGGTTGTGCAGAATCTTATGGCCGGGGTTAAGGCCAAGGTGCGGGCATTTGCGTATGGACTGTAAATGAAATACGAGTAAAATGGTAAAATGAAGTTTAATAGTTTTCTCAATCCCTGAAAATTTGATGGCAATCGGATGAAAACTCGAATTTTGCGAATCAATTTTGTGTGTGGCAATTTTATCGTGGACACCCTTTACATTCATCCACGTAAACTTGTATTTCATTTTACGCAACCGAGCAACTTGTAAACAATGTTGTTTACAAAGATGGCCTTTTGTATACAATATTAGCTACATTGCATGCAATGTGTCAGAACTTTATATGATATATAATGTAAACGTATATGATATGTGACACTTCATTTATGTGCATCATATTGAACACAAATTTACACTACTTTTTCGAACTGTGAAGGTAAAGTTTGCGTTTTTTCCATATAACGGTGACCCACTCTAATGAATAGTTTATTCGATTCAATCAAAGTGTGTTGTTACTTCGTACGTGAAGTTTACGATTTTCAGAGTTGGGACGAAATGCTATGCTTATATCAACATGAAGCTTTAATGTAATAATTTATTAGCTAGAAAAAGTTCTGAAGATGATAGTTCCGCTAGAGTACTATCGAAGAGAGTGTGAAAATTTAACAGAAATTGAAATTGAGTGAAGGGCCATTAACGCAACAATACTAATCAACCGCACACTCCATTACCTACACAGCAAAAAAAGTTGTTGAATATTACATCCAAACTGCTGCAACCAGGTCAATCCATCGGTTGTGTAATATCACATTGTACGATGTACATCGATTTTGCGAACAAAATTACATCCATTGATGTAATATTGTATCTGCTTTTTGCTATTACATCATTATTTCATACATCAGCTTGAATTACGTTGATCGATATTACATTTTTTGTTGCTGTGTAGTTGATACATTGATGCACAGTAAAAAATAAATTTTAATATTCTATCCAAGAGGATGCACTTCAGTCATGTCGAAAATCTCATGTAATTTTTATGGCAACACAAATAAACAAATGCAGTAAAAGCAACGTAATGACAGTTCATACACTGTATTAATGATAATTTTGCCTTTTTTCGCAAGTAAAATTACACCATATTTTCGACACGATTGAAGTGCATCCACTTTGATGTGATATTAAAATTATTTTTTTGCTGTGTGGATGAGGAAAATGAGGCAAAAGAGTGCGTGCTCGACTTGTTCATATACCGTCTGCGGCTAATAAACGTCGCTAGAACTATTCCACAGCTGCAGATAGTAAATGTAAATGCCAGGAAGTTTACGCGTCTTTAGGGCAGGTTTATTAATTTCAAAGCAATTGCAGGAATATCATCATAAGAGTAGCGAGAACTCCAGCGAAGTTCCAAGAGCTTCAAAGAATAAAGAATTTCAAGGCGGTCAAAAAAAACTGTGGGAACTGTAAAGAAATACCGAACAGCCTGCGGGATAGTAAGGTAACTTCTGTAAAATTTTGGGCACTTCAGGGAAACTGCATAACTGTAAAGAAGTTCTAGGAACTAGCAGCGATATCCACAGAACTTCAAAAGAACGGGAGGAAATTGTGGGAGCTTGTTCTAGAGAGCTACAGGAAAGCTCAGAATTACGGACAGTCACAAAACTTCAGAAACGTCCAGATTTTTGGGCAAGTTTGAACTTCTTTTAAAGTTATTTTCAATAAATTCAGGACAAAAAATTTTGTGACATTCCAGGGATAGAATTTGACAATACCGTAAGGTATGGACGTTAACCAGTACGCAGGGATCATTTCCTAATTTGAAACATATTTAGGAAGCCTTGAGATTTTCACGAAATTAAAACATTGCTTTGGACAGTTCCATTAATTTCAGGGCAGTAGAAGTTTTTCCTGCAAAAGCTCGGAAAATTTTACTCATTCTATGAGTGATCTACGATTTTGTGAATTTGAGTGATCGATACTCAAATATGAGGTAGATTAATTTGCCGTGAAAATTAAAAAAAAACTTGAACGCAATATGCCTCATAACATCCACTCGATACTCACTTGAATTTTCTCCTCCAAGAACTTATTCGTTTCACGCATGGCGGAAAGCTCCTGGTTGAGCTTGAGAATGTCAAGATTAAGCTGGTTGATGGTCACTTGGCCAACGTTATCATCCGAACTGGCACTTTCGCCCCCGCCACCAGTTCGGTGCGGTCGCTTCGGTGCTGATGCGGAGCTGATCGACGATGTCTGTACGGCACCGTTCCGCTTCTTATGGGACAGAGCTTCCTGAAGCTTTTTACACTCCGTCTTGGTTCGCCGTAGGTCCGACTCATTTTGGGCCCTAAAAGGAATCCAAAATTAAATGTTATTTTAATCTGAGAGGATTCTATAAAGTGGAGCTCCATGGTACCTTAAAACGCGAACGGCGTTTCGTTCCGTGGCCAAGTTCGACCGCAGATCGTTAATTTCCAGCCTCATCTGTTCGTTCTGAGCAAGCAGCTTCTGTACCGTCAACGCATTGTGCGCTTCACTGACAACCTGCTTCTTGGACTTTCCTGTACATTTCTCATTGTGTTGCGTTGACTTGGTGGCATCTGGTTTCGGAGGAATGGGTGGTTTACTGGCAACTATTTTGCTATCACTGTTCAGTGGATCCATCTTCATTCGCTTATTGCTTGAAATTCCCGGATTGATCCCCACCATGGAAGCTGGTCGGACATTTTCTTTGTCTATTTGCTTCACAACCGAAGCGTACGTTTGTTCCTGTTCCGGGACACTTTCTGACAGGCTCACTGAGGGCACTTTCTTCCTTTTGAGTGAATTGATTTCCTTATCACTATCACATTTGATCACACTAGCACTACTTCGGATCGATACCACTTCATTGGACTCCAATGAGTCCTTCTGCGTGTGCCCCTCATCAGACATTTTACTCTGATATTGACTTGCCTTTTGGCCACTCATGTACAAGGTTAGGTTTTCACTGTCACTGATGTCGCTCTGCTTGAGAATTCGAGAACGACTGGTGCTTCTGCTCCGTTCCACTTTCGATTTCGATAAACCAGATGCACTGCAGGAGATTCCGTTGTTTGCGTTCTGATGCTGCTGGTGATGATTATTACGCTGATTTTTGCTGTCTGCCATTCCTCTCTGTGTTGCTGCTTGCTTCAAGTTCAAGTTTTAACATTTAATTTTAATTTTTCTTCTGAGTTTATTTGTTAATTAGATAACCGATTTTCTGTTTGCTACTGCACTTTTGCACTTTTTCTGTTCAATTCATGGAAATATCACAATCACTCCGTCAAGTTGGTAAGAATAGTAGAGTTCTATTGAAGCGAGCAACGTGATTCGTTGATGACGCTACCGTGATGTTCAGTTCTGGCGCCGCTTAAAAGTGCATTCAGCTGGAACGAGAAGAATGAAAACGTTTTCGATTAGTCTACAAAAACAATATTTGGGCCAACAGAACGATTTACGAATGATCTTGGCCAAGGCATCATCTTCTTCTTGGCTAAGTATTACGTCCCACCAGGAACTTAACGCCTGCCCTCTTCATGCTATTGCTTGAACACTATCACAGTTGTTAATTGAAAGTTTTCTAAGTCAATAGCAATTTAAGATTCCTATACCGATATTTTCACTGAATCTAGTGCAGCGTGGCACCGCGGAACACCACTTTGTGCATTTACACAAAACTCAAGGCCGTGGTTACCTGCTAGAACAAACGGTTGATTCTAATGAAACGTTGTGATTAAAGTTGTTAATTGGAATCAAGTAATTTTGAGCGCGCAAAGTGATAGGGCCTTCATATGAAAGGTTGTCGCTTTAGCGATATCGCAAGGGACTGTCGTTATATAGAACTGTTGTTATGAAAGAAAATCGTTATAGAGAGTTATGAATTAGAATGCAGTTACAGAGAGAGAGAAAAACACATACAGTCGCTCATTGGGGGTTTTACCGTTGGGAATTCACTAATTGGGTGACATCCTAACTAATTAGTAATCCCGTAAGAAAAATATTTGTCAAAAAGCCTTAACATTCCATTGATGTTCTTTGACACTAATGTAGAGAACTGTTTTGCCAGAAGACTACAGGTTAACAACTGAAAAGCCATGCCAACCAGTGCACAGTGGGCATTATAGGGACAAAAATGATTAAAATTGTTAGCCACAATTTCATTCATTCATGGTAGCACTTGTTTTGAGCCTGTTCTACCCCAAAATTCCATGAAAAATCTGATAATGCTCGAATTAAGTGTTTTTTTTTTGAAGATAAGGGATATCAGTCCAAATGAGCTCAAAATTTGCGCCTGGTTTATTTTCGGTCTATTTACTAGTTTAAACATCTTTCTGTGTACTTTATGCAACGTAAACATTGTTTTTCAAAAAGGAATTAAAAATTCACATTGTTGACATATTTCACGCATTATTTGACCCCATATTCTCCTATAAATTTTTCTTAAGTTTCCCAAAGGTCACATATTGACAGTGAAAAACATAATTGTTAACTTCTATTATAATTAGTTAACTAATTAGATGATTTTAATATATGAGAGCAGTAATGCCAACATTCCAGTTTAAACTGGATTCCTCCAGTTTTTTTAGGCATTCAGTATGAAATCTTCCAGTATTATGAGAATTCACCTAGTTTTATCCAGTTCTTCATTATTAATAGCAAATTATATTTAAGTATGATTACCATTACACAATGATGCTTAAACTTTAAACTTTTATATTGGAATTGAAATTTTATATATCAATATTTATTAACAGTCACAATACCATATCTGCAAAATGCGTTTATATGTCACAGCATTGACACGCATTTTGTATGATTGGTATAATGGCAGTTTACATCATTTTACGGAAAATTTCCATATTTATAAGAAATCTGTTTTCTAATTGCGTTAAAAAAATATGTTCGGCAAAACAACAACATAAACATAAACTACTTTAACACATGACAATCAGTTTTAAGAGAACAGATTTACCAGCAAAACCATTAAATGCCCAAGATTTTGAACGTTTTAAAAATGCCAGAATTCCAGAACTAAACGAATTAATAAAATAGTCAAGGATAAGCAAATAAGGTAGTGGAATTAAATGGAAATTACTAATCCTTCTCTCTCTCTCGTTATCCAGGCATTCGACTAAGACGCCCACATTCATCAGGATTTAAACGAATTAAGTCCCTGGCATTTGATTAATTTCAAGTTTGCAATCTTAAACACATTTAAAAATTCAGCATTTCAAATATTTTTGCTAGTTTTGGATGTCCGGAATATTTAATTTCCATGATTTCATGATTTCCAGGATATCGATTTATTTATTTTAAAATTAATGTTCATTCTCTTTTATTTTGCTCGACAATACTCTTGAACAATGTTTGCAGTACACTCTCTGAATTCAATCTGCACTACAACTTATAATTAATAGTATATAACCTAAAAATAATCCTGAATACAATCACTTGAAGTTCTCCTCAGCATTCATTTAGTATTTTCCAGAAATTCCCATCAAAATTCTTTTTCTAGTCTTCTGAACATCCTGAAATTCCCTTAGGGGCTTCTGGTCAGTATTCCTATTAATTATATAAAATGCTCCTCATAATTTCCTTGGAACTCACTTTTGAAATTTCTAAACAGTATCCCCGGAATATTCTGTGAATTCTTCTCGGAATTCCTTTGAAATTTTCCTCAAAATTTTTATGCAACTATCTTCGGATTTTGGAATTCGATTTCCTTTGAATTTCCTTAATATTTTATTTTGAACTATTTTGAAATACCTAATAAATCCATTGGAATTTGGTTTATTATTTGTTTTTATTATTTTATTTTATTGATTACTTCTAGGTGAAACACGAAATGAGATGCAAGGCGTAGAGAAAAGCAAACCTACGGAACCCATAGATTGGAGCAGCAAATTAATATGGTGAGACCATTCCAAATACCTTTTGCAATTAAAAAATAAATAAACTAAATATATGCCAGGTTCAAAAGAACATTTTGAAACTGGAAGTAATACTAATATCCTATTGATAGAGGTAATACATACATGCGGGACTTATTATAAGTGAAAGTAACCTCGGAATGGGCGTGACTCTCCAGAAATTCCACACGCACACACACTCACACACACAGACACACACACACACACACACACACATACACATACACACACACACACACACACACACACACACACACACACACACACAGACACACACACACACACACACACACACACACACACACACACACACACAGACACACAAACACACACACACACACACACACACACACACACACACACACACACACACACACACACACACACACACACACACACACACACACACACACACACACACACACACACACACACACACACACACACACACACACACACACACACACACACACACACACACACACACACACACACACACACACACACACACAGACACACACACACACACAGACACACACACACACACACACACACACACACACACACACACACACACACACACACACACATACACACACACACACACACATACACACACCTAATAAATCCGTTGGAATTATTTTCAGAATTATCGTAGAATTTACGTCAGAATTCCCTTTGAATTTCTCCTAAGAATGCACTTGCAGTTCTATTCACATTTTTTTTAAAGATTTTTCCTCAAAATTACATTGGCATTAGATTGAGCCTGTACAAATAAAATAATTTACAATTCTCCTGGAATAATTCATAATCCTTCTTTTAGCGTACGCTAGGATTCTCCGAAAGTTGGCATGTAATTAAGCTCTGAATTATTTTTCTCCTAGAAGCTTCTTGAAATTATACTCAGAATTCTCATAGATTTCTCCTTGAAAGTCTCCTTTGAATTATCGTGAATAATCCTCAAATTTAAATTCATAACTAATCTCGGTATGTCCTATGAATATTTGATAAAACTTCTTTTGAAACTTATTCACAATGTCCATGGAATCTTACTAAGAACTACCTTCGTATTCTCCTTGGTTTCCCATGGAATCTAGAATTCCTCAGAGCTGTCTTGAAAGCAGATTTCATTTGATGTTTTTCTCACGTTCTTCCCAGAACTCTTAAAAAAAATCGAATCAAATTCCATGAGCCTTGAAAAAAATTCTTTGATAGTTGATTTTTGTTTTCAAATCTGTGATCTTGGAAAATTTTTCAATATTCAAAAAACATGCATATTCATTTTTGTTCCAGGTTTTTGAATATGTCTCCAAATATAGTTATTTTCAAAACCAGAATTTAAAAAAATATTGATAATGTATAAAATAATAGTTTAGTTATAGATTGCAAGGAAATCAAATGTTCATGAGCATCCAGTTTGTTGTGTGCATTATGCCAGTTATTTTTGGAAAACTGAACTGTTCCCTGAACGGGAACAAGGGGTAAAATGATCGTAAAAATACTTACGTACGCAAGCGGAATCGATTTCTTGGCTATTTCCAACAAACAATTCAGAGCTACAAATAATCACATATATTGAATAAATGCTGCATAACAGTGTACAATGCCGAACAAAACGGGTTCTTGTATTATGTGCTGAAAAAAGCTCATTGAGATCGATAGATGCATCTTCGTTCCGCTGTTTGCTCTGATCTGATTAAATTACTCATTAAAAGCTTTATAAACGTTAACTGTCTTCTCGATTCAACACCTGAAGTTTGATCTAATAACCAACTGAATAATTTAATTCGAAACTTTTCAATTGATTTCTAATAATGTTTTCTAGCTCCATTACCAGATTTCATTAAATTGCTTTACAATATTGCAGAATAAAGGTGGATACAGTCAGCATAGTAGCTCTTATACCACTATGCGTCCATGTTTTAATCGCATGCTTTGTAAATGCTTCATAAACGACGCATTAGATTCACAACACTGATTCAGCCTAACAACATGACAAAATAAGTAGAATAGAGGTTACCGTTTCCGTGTTCCAAGTAGAAGGTCGCGGGTTCAATCCAAAAATCAACCCTTTTTTTATTTGTGTTCTTCACCTAATTAATTTAAATCGTAGTCATCGATCACATCACTCACGACACTCACTGATCTAGTATAAAAAATAACCCAGCATCCTTTCCTTGGAAATTGGACAGGTGAAGTGGTAAAATTGTTCTAATGTAAAACAACGATAAATGAATTGATCATTTCCAGTGGACCTTGAAGGAGATATAGTTAAAGAATTTCTATTGCGAGTGCTGATATGTATTAAGTTTCAAGCAAGCTTTTATTGATTATTGAACTGCCCATATGATGTACTTTAGGATAGCTCAGATGGCAAGGCAAGCGGCTGTCGATCGGAAGGTACATGGTTCGAACTCATGTAACGACACGTATATATGTAATATATTTTCTAATAT